GATTCAATTGCACAAGCGCTCGATGGAACTGCAGACTCAAAAACACACACACACACACACACACACACACACACACACACCACACGCACACACACACACGCGCGCGCGCGCGTGCGCACAAACAAACAACCAGGCAAAAACAAACAAACAAATAAACACACACAGATACAAACAGACTAACAAATAAACGAATAAATGTACCAAATTCGAGCCTATGTTAGTGCTCATTTGATTCTTCCCAGTACAGACTTCGTCAGGGAATGTTTTTATAATCCTTGACATCCACGAAGCTAGCCGCACGAAGATATTAATTAATTAAATTGCAAAGAAAATCGTGTGCAATGAACATTCGCTTCATTAGTTCAGATTCAAAATCAATGTACTACAATTGCTGAATTACAAATGAGAGGATTTTTTTCGGCTTCGAAAACTCCTTGGAAATTTCTCTCAGAGAAAATTAACAATCTGGGTATATTATTATGCCTTCTCCCCCCCCCCCCCCCCCTCCGGGATATAAGCCTTACAATTTAACATACACTCTTACGCTCATGACCATATTATTATGAAGTTGCGAGCGCCGTAAAACTCTTACTAATCCATAATTATAAACTATTTTAACGTGCACACCCCCACCCCATCCCTCTTTCGGTCAACCCCTTTGTTAAAAACGCGTATAAAAACGAACCGCAACCCCTTGAAAAGGACACAATGAGCAATGAGAGTTTCACTTTGAAATAGAACAATAGTCATAGAACCAGCAGACCAACAGTGCTTTGCCAGTAGGCTAAACATTGCCGGCCATCCCACCGTGGCTGATCGATGCCTGGAATTACGACTGGATAATACTGCATGCCAGAAACGTGGTCTAACTCTGCTCTGGGTAACGAAACAGCTGTTTATTACAGGGTTAGACCGTGTGGTCTCCGATACCCTATGATTTCTGACTAGACATTATATGGCCTGGCCGTAAATTAGCTTAGACCGATATGATAAAGAGAGAAACCCAATATCATTGTACTGAAGACAATTTCTAGGTTAGGAGACTTTCTTGTTAATGAAGGCATAACGTATTTCTAAACGATGTATGTCTGTCATTCAGTTTGTGACTCTGTCATAAGGGATGTGTTTGTGTGTGTGTGTGTGTGTGTGTGTGTGTGTGTGGTTGTTTTTATTGTTGTTGTTGTTGTTGTTGTTAGTGGTGTTGTTGCTGATGCTGCTTTTCTTTTTGTTTTTCGTGCCCTGGTGTTTGTTCTTCATGTTTTTTTCTCCTTGTTCTTGTTCTATTTTTTCTTCTTCTTCTTGATGTTACTGTTGTTGCTATTGTTGTTAAGTTGTAGTTTTGGTGTTGATGATGTTGTTGGTGGTGGTGATGGAGGTGGTGGTG